CAGTTACGACCCAGTCTAAATGGTTGGGTTTGGCCTGACTCCCATTTAAAAAAAAAATCCAAATTTTTTAAAAAAATCATTTCAAAAAATTATGATTTTCTTGCATATTTTTCTACCAAATTTTATATAATATTGAATTGTATATTTACACTGTAAAATACAAATCCGGTATTAAAATACCTGGTTTTATCCAAAATATTTCAAAAAAAATCAAAATATTTTCAAAAAGAAAAAAATATTTTATTGCACACAACCAATTCCTAAAATTTTTCCAAGCATGTTTTTCATAAAAAAATAATAAAAATTGCATCTTTTTTATGTTTTAATTTTTTTTTTCAAAAATAGATATCGTAATAGTTTATAATTATCTATTAGGATTTGGCCAATATGTCAAAAATCTTTTTCTATTTTTTTAGGATCTAGATGTAGACTTTAATATTTGTAGGGTGTAAAATTACACAATAAAGTATACTCTCAGGTATTAAAGATACAAAGTGTAGAAATGTGATGCTAAAATTTAAATTTTAAAACAGTTAAGATTTAACCCAATAAGGTAGAGACTTTCTCATGAAGAAAGATCTGCCTTAAACCTTAGAAAAGACCAACAAATAAAAACCAACTTAAAAAAAAAAACAATCAAACAAAAATGCAGTTTACCTTAAGTAGGGTGCACTGGGGGTGATTCATCTTTCCCTTGCAAAACCAGTCCCTTAACCAAACTTTCGCAAACTATAGGTTCCTCCGGTATTAAAATACCTGGTTTTATCCAAAATATTTCAAAAAAAAATCAAAATATTTTCAAAAAAATACATATTTTATTGTATACAGCCAATTCCTAAAATTTTTCCAAGCATGTTTTTCATAAACAAATAATAAAAATTGCATCTTTTTCATGTTTCAATTTTTTTTTTTTCAAAAATGGATATCGTAATAGTTTATAATTATCCATTGCGATTTGGTCAACATGTCAAAAATCTTTTTCTATTTTTTTAGGATCTAGATGTAGACTTTAATATTTATGGGGTGTAAAATTACAGGATAAAGTACACTCCCAGGTATTAAAGATACAAAGTGTAGAAATGTGATGCTAAAATTTAAACTTTAAAACAGTTAAGATTTAACCCAATAAGGTAGAGACTTTCTCTTGAAGAAAGATTTGCCTTAAATCTTAGAAAATACCAACAAATAAAAACCAATTTAAAAAAAAAACAATCAAACAAAAATGCAGTTTACCTTAAGTAGGGTGCACTGGCGGTGATACGTCTTCCCCTTACACAATTAGTCCCTTAACTAGACTTTCGCAAACTATAGGTTACTAGTGACTATAATACTAGATGATGACTTCTAAATATTAATCATAATTTTATGATTAAAACCAAAAACCCTTCTTCACACACAACACCCCTCATCACAACAAGAGTCTCCGCCGTCGCTAGACACTCGCGCATCACGCATCTACATTCAAAATAAACATTTACAAAAAATTATAGATATATTATATTATCAGATTTGTTATTATAATACATGCTTTAGTTAGAAAATTTTATAATATTTAATATATAATACGTTAATACAAAACCTTAATAAAAATATATTTTTAAATAATATTCAAAAGCTAACAAGCAACCCTGTCCACGAAGCACATCAATGGTTACTGGCAAACCTTCTACTTTTTCCAAAGGTAAGGACGTTGTTCAGCCTGGTGAACTGGGTCAGGCTAATATTCTTAATGCCTCTGTTGCAAGACAGATCACAGGAGGTCTACAAAGGGACTTGTTTCTCTTCCAACTAGAAGTGGTGGGGACAACACCCTTACCACTCCGAATTCATATTAATATATTGTCGGAACATCAGGGGGCTTAATAGTTCGCTGAAGCAGAATGAGGTGGTTAGCCTCAATAAAAGAAACAGGGTTGATGCTTGTTGTTTGTTAGAGACCAAGCTATCCTCTTCTGAAGTTGGTCTCATACACAACCTTCGGTTAAAGTCTTGGAAATATCTCACTAATAGTGTGGCTGCCTCATATGTCCGACACAACCTTCGGTTAAAGTCTTAGAAATATCTCACTAATAGTGTGGCTACCTCCTATGTCCGGATTGTTATTTTTTGGAATCCTAGCACTGTCAATATTGATTTATTTGACTTTTCTGCTCAGGCTATTCATGTTCTATTTCTAGCTTGGAAACTCACTCCACTTTCTTTGCTACTTTAATCTATGGGTTCAACATTATTAGATGGTGCCCAAGCTCTCCTTGATGACTTATAATTCCATGCTTTCTCAGGAAAACAAACATAATGGAGCTCATGTCACCAGCTATGAAGTTTTTGATTTTAGGGAGTGCTGCATTGATTTGGGTCTTGCTGATTTACATTCTACTAGATGCTTCTTCACCTGGTCCAATGGTCATGTTTGGAGCAAGCCTGATAGGGTCATGGTGAATTCCCTTTGGTCATCTTTACCTCAACAAGCCCATGTTCATTTTAACACCCCTAGTGTTTTCTCTGATCACTCTCCAGCCTCTGTTCAGATTGGTCATTGCAAGCCTAGAGGGAACCATAAGGATTATAGACACCAACTATCTCTACATTGGTATGATATTGTCCACGCGCAAGCCTAGAGGGAACAAGAACTTCAAATTTTTAAAGAAGTGGGTTGATCACCCTCAATTCTTGGAGGTTACTTTGGAGAGTTAAGCCCTCATGAATATGCTCTTGAGTTATACCTAAAAGGCCTCATTCCAATAGAGATATTTGTCTATTCTTATATACCCATGATCCTCCCCATTTCTAATCAATATAGGACTTTGGTTGCATACCCAATAATCCTTCTCTCGAACAAAGGACCACCGAGCCTCTTCTCAAATGATCAGGAGAGCACTACCTGACTTGAAATTTTTTTTACTCTTTTTTAGGTCAACTCCTCTTCACCGTATTGGAATCAGGACATGTCTATAAAGCATCCGGAGCACAACGCCTATCCAATAGAGCTGATCCATGGATTACATCGTGATCTAATTAGGGCTCACCACCTTTGTTTGGCATTCCAAGGATTCATCCATCATGGGGGCATGACTCTGATACCACTTGAAAGGATTATAAACACCAACTATCTCCACATTGATATAATATTGTCCACTTTGAGCTTAATACCTCATGGATTTGCTCCTGGGTTATACCTAAAAGGCCTCATTTCAATAGAAATATTTGTCTATTCTTATATACTCATGATTCTCTCCATTTCTAACTAATGTGGGACTTTGGTCGCATACCTAACAGGAACAAGAACTTCAAATTTTTAAAGAAGTGGGTTGATCACCCTCAATTCTTGGAGGTTACTTTGGAGAGTTGGAACAATCCAGTCAGCGGCTCCTGTATGGTTACTCTATGCAGGAAATTAAAGTACTTGAAGAGACCATTGAATGAGCTTAACAAACTCCATTTTATTCATATCTCTAAGCGTGTTGCCCGTGCTGAAAAAGATCTCGCTGCTCAACAATCTCTTCTTCATCAGAATCTTGATAATGACCACCTTTTGCTTCAGGAAAGGAACCTCAGGTCTTCCCTGTTGAACTTAAAGCAGGCGAGTTGTTGTACTTCAGGCAAAAGCTCAAGTGTAATTTTCTAAAGGAGAATGACAAAGGCTCTTGTTATATACCCTATAAATATATATATTAAAAAAATTAAATAATAATAAAATTAAAAAAGATAGATTTATCAATAAAAAATAACAAAATACACAATAAATCAGAACATGGATGTTGTGACTATAAAAAATAAAAACAAATTATATTAAGAAATGAGAGATGTTTTTGGGGGTGGTTACTTGCAGCTCAGGAGGGGTGAGTTTGTTTAGATGCAAGGATGGGAAAGAAAAAGGAGAAAATGAAGAGGGAAGGCAGTTTGTCATTACACTGTTTTTTTTTTAAATTATTTATTTTATCTAGAATTTTATTAGTATATATTGATGGTGTTACCAATTAATTTACATTCGTTGATAAATATCACTGTAAATTATAGATAGAAAATTTTTGTTAATAATTCTGTTGGTTTTAGTTGAATTTCTAATAATAATAAATAGCAGTATTATAAAATATGACTCGACTTGATCAGTCAATTAGATAATTCATAAATGGATTGTTTCTCACTTTATCAATTTGGGACTAACATTTTTTTCAAAAATACCACAAGCTGATTAATTTTTGTGTTTCTTCGTATCATTGTTTTGAGAGAGTTACATTTATAAATTTAATTTATTATTTATTTATGAAAAGTAAAAGTACAATCCTTTACTCATTAACATTGTATCAAAAAATTTGTAAGTTGATTTTTTTTTTTTTACATATATTTATAGATCTATGTAGAAACCATATTCGTGTATATATTAGTAGAAGTTAACCAAGTAACTTGCTATATATACAAATACGGACTATAAAAAAATAAAATTAAACTTGAGATCTAAATGTACGCGCACACTCCTATTAGTAGAATGGGTATTATAAGTACATGTGTTTGTAAGAACATATATAGTATTTTACAGTAACATTCATTCCAGATTTCAAGCAGCATTGCTAAGGCCTATTTCAAAACCTCATAAAGAATCATAATAGAAACAGAACATCAAAATGATAGAAAAAACATGTTGACGAGGCAAATACACGAGTCGTAGAGCCATTAGTTTGAGCAGAAAGGAGAACGAAAATCCACACATTAAACAATAAACACACAGACGAGTAACATTATGCCCTTCACTTGTTTTTGAAGGTTCACACACGACGAGTAACATTATACCCTTCACTTGTTTTTGAAGGTTCACACACTTGAAAAGAAACACAAATGGGCAAGCAAACATACGCCCTTATTTCTTGAGGTTCGCACAATAAATGACTGAAGACAGAACATGATGACATACGCCCTTATTTTCTAGAAGTTCAATATCCTTCTTTTAGGAGTTGTATGGTAAATATGACTGTTACAATGTAAAGCCAAATTGCATCTCATTGCCAATGAAACAGTTGAAATTACTTCCACGAATTAAAAGAATACTCGCAGCACCACCGCTCAAAGACATGATTCTCCGTGAAATCATCGCATGACGAGGTAACCAGCCACCCTTATGCAAACATGAAGAACAACGACCATTCAGGCATATCGCATATGTTAATTTATTTCAACTAGTAACAGTTGAAGGAGAAGGATAGAGCATAAATAACTGCAGCCATATTACTTGGTTGGGGAAATATTGAATTATTAGCATGCTTTTCAAATCCCAATGCCAAACTAATCTTCTTACCTATCATCATCAAGTAGAAAACGAATAAATCTTATTATGGCCTCGGCCTCGTCCTCGTCTTCGTCCTCCTCGTCCTCGTCCTCCCACCCATTATTTCGGGTCCACATTCTACGAGTGTTGGTTGGCACGGAGCGACCAATGCTTGAACCCCCAGCTACTTGAGATACCTGCAAAGCCAATTCAAGCAAGGCATACACATTCTAACTTGTAAGTCTTATTATCGAGTGAAAACAAGAAACAAAAACACTGAAAGAAAGGCAAGAAATCATGTCAAATAAGCAGCACCTCTGATTGAGCACTCATTGAACCATTTGTTGTAGTAGCAAATTTTGTGGTCAGCTTTGGACATTGATGCATCTTCAACATCTCCAGTCGAGGGAATAAGAATTGATAACATCCAAGACTGAAGTAGACAATCCTCGGTAATTGTTCTAGATACAGCTCCTGCAGTTCAGGGAGCACCATCCCCTCCTCAACATTGACAGGTGAAGCATGATCATCCTGCCCAAATACTCCCAGTAGTTGAGAGGATTGGCTTACTCTAAGTATTTGGAGCTTCGGGAGACCTGAAGCCATGGCTATTGGGAAGAGACTCGTTAACTTGTTGCATACATTGATCTCAATTCGACACAAATTGGGGAAGCATAAAGATTGGAGATCACTTCCTGACAATATTTGATCATTTCCATCATCAATATCCTTAGCTATGATTTGCTCCAATTCATCACAAGTTGATATCTCTAGAACTTCTAGTTGAACCAGACTAGCAATCATGTTGCCTGTAAATACATGCGTCAGTCTCTCGCATTTCCTCACCACCAAAGTAGTCAAATGCCTCAGCACGAGACCCTTCCATATACAACTCATGTCAGGCACAGGCAGTGAGGACAACTGTAATGCTTCCAAACTAGTGAAGCCCTGCATAAAAACAATTAAATAAATACAGGTGCCATTTTGTTAGATATAATTCCTCGGAACGTTTGTGCACTTTGAAACTATTATATAATTTTGGTAAATAGGTGAAACAATTATCCCCGGTACTTCAGCAAAATACTTAATCAATAAAAAAGATATAAATAGATAGGGCAATGGGTCAGCGGATTATGAAATCATAATTTTTCATATTTATGATAATCTAAATATAAATTATTATTTTATATTAGTTAAATTAAAAGCAATCATGAAAAGATTACACTTATTAACTAAAAAATAGTTTTTTTTTAATATTTGATTTATAAAAAAACAAATTATGACATTAACCAAAAACAAATATATAAGAAAAAATAATTTTAATTTTACATAGTAGTAAGATTTCTTGTATATAAAGTAAAAATGCTTTATTATGGATCACTTTTTTTCTTGTATATAAATTCAGTGCATAATTAAGAGCTTATCAATTGCTTTAGTTTCAGAAATTTGGAGGAAGAAAGAAGAAATTATCAGTGTATTGAAGTAGACAATTTAAATTAGAAAAGAAAAAAAATCTTGGAGAAGTATAAAGGACGTACTTGGAGCTGTGCCAACAAATTACCCGATTCTTCGTGGCCATCAATGGTTAACTCTTGCAAAGAAGGCAACTGGGCAGCAAAATCCTTTGGACCAAAGAAGCTGCAATTTGAAAGAGACAATTTTCTTAGCCGAGGGAAGTTGATGGTGCCACCTCTGGTGACAGCATCTCCTTCTGCACTGTAAAATATTTGCTTTAAATTGCTAGTAACTATAGTCATCTGTTCCAGCTTCAGAAGACTCGGAGACACAGAGACAGGGAAGACGTATTCCAGGTGACCACAGTATTCTATAAGGAGAGTTTTTAACTTCGGGAAGCTAAGAGACTCTGGAATTATTTCACTTTGATCATCATTTTCTCTGATAAGATGCTTCAATCCACGACAACTTCTTATCTTAAGTGTTTCTAGCTGTGGTAGACTTTGAGCGAGGGACGGTGTGAAGATAAATGTCAGTTTGTCGCGAGAATCCAAATTCAGATGAGCAAGACTTAGGTGGCTGACATGCCCGGTGAGCCCCTTCCATATGCATCTGAGCTCAGGTAAGCAGGACAGTTGTAGCTCTGTTAAAGATGACAACAACGACCGCTCCCTCTCCTCACTGCTTCCTTCATCAGCCTCGCCCAATTCAAAAACCTCTTCCAATGATTTACAGTCTTTAATTTCCACACCCCTTAGATTTTTCAAAGCTTGCCGCCATTTAGCTGGAAACAGAGTGCGAATATCCCCACATCCATTCACTTTGACATGTTCTAATCTTTGCAAGAAGTCCTTTCGAGACCCATGGCCATGGGTGGTCATCTGATCAGAGGACAATACTATATTTTCCAAACCCTCCACTCTATGAAAACTAATTTGAGACACAGTAGGAAACAATTGCTCAAATGTCTTCGCATTTAAGGATGTGGCGCTGATTTCACCCAAACATAATCTTGTCTTTGCAGTTGGGTATTCATTATCAAGTTCTGAATACCCATTCCCTAACACCCAAATATCATATTTGAGCAACCTGGGAAAAACAAAATCTCTGGGAATGCATTCAGCCTTCGGTATCCTCAATGATAATACAGCTAAATGAGACAACGAGTTTAGTTCTGTTAGGCTCGCATTCACTCCTCCCCTGCTTGTCCCAACGACATCCCATTCCTTAAAGCTGTAACACCCGATTAGCAGTTCTTCTAACCTCTTCAAGCTTCCAATCAAATTCACGGGAATCCTTCCTAGATTTCTACAACCTGTCACGTCCAACAACCTCAACTCCTTGAGCTCCCTCATTTCACCAGGTAATTCTTCAATGGAGTCGCACCCTATAAAACCAAGAATCTTAAGCCTTTGCAGCTTTCTCAACCAAATGAGCTCCTTGCATTTACACTCCATCAACAGCAACGATTGAAGGTTCGTCGAGAATTGAAGTGACTGCAATGACAAACACCCTCCCTTTAGGGACAAAACTTCAATTTCTTTCATCCCTTCAAAAAGCCTCTCTGGAACATTCAAACCACGATCCAGTTCTAATAATACAACTCTGAGCTGTGGACATACCAAACCTTCAGGAAGTTCTGCTAATTTATTGCCCATTAACGAAATTGCTGTGCAACCTTCAAAGCTTTTACTGCACATTGGCCACTCCTTCAACCCAAGGCCTGAATTTACCATGAATCCATATTCTTTAGATGATGCTATCTGAATAGCAACATCACGAACCAAGTCATGCATTTTCACACGCTCTTCAGTTTCAGTGCCTAACAGCATACAACAATCTTTGAGGGTTCTTATTTCCGCATGAACTTTTTCCCTTGCATCTTCAATGGACTCCACATCTTGATGTAACCCGTAGCCAACTGCATATCTCGTCAAGTCCTCAATTGGAATGTTGTAATCTTCTGGAAATAAACAGCATAGCAAGAAACATAACTTGGTTTTCTCGTGCTTCAAATAATCATAGCTCAACTTAAGACATGAATATGCATTTTTTTGTTCACCAATTTGTTCCATGTGCCGAAATTGAGAGTTTCTGAGCTCTTTGGACGCCACTTCCCACTCAACATCAGATTTATCTCTTAGAGCCCTTCCCACTGTCACAAGTGCTATAGGCAGTCCTTGACATTCTCTCGCAACCTTCTTTGCCACTGAGTTCAAGGTAGAGTCCGCGTCACGTAAACCTGCATTGATTTTGAACAAAGCCCATGCTTCATTTTCTGATAAGAGACTTAAGAACACTTTTGGCTGGCACTCCATATAAGAACATATGTCTTTAAGACGTGTTGTTAGAAGAATTTTACAACCCCTGTGAGCATCACCAAATGGGATCCCTATCTCTTTCAAGTTAATATCTTTCCAAACATCATCCAGGATAATAAGCATCTTCTTCTCTGTCTTCAGTCTCTGCCACAATCGATCTGCTCTCCCTTCCTTGGTCTTTGTCTTTTCGTCAAGATGCAGACCTAAACTATCTGCCATTCGATCCTGAATGTCTATGACATTTGGATTCTGGGACAGTGTAGCCATCAAAACTTCATCAAACAGCTGCGACTCTTTGGCACTCCTGCATACTTCTTTCATCAGGGTGGTTTTACCCACCCCTCCCAGGCCGTACAGTCCAATCATATTGACGTTGTCATCTTCGAGAGCTTTCATAATCTGTTCGAAAGCTTCTTTTGACGATTCCGAGGGTGTGAGTCCCTCTGATGGAAGAAATTCTATGTCTTGAAGAGGTGCTTTGTGGGACACTTTGGGAAACTTTTTGCTATTGTCTTCAAGCTTTCGCAAAGTCTCTGTCTTCTTTTCCAGTGCCTTGCTTAACTTGAATTGTCGCATCCAATTTGGACACCAAGTAAAGTATTTGCCATTTTTTCCCTTTTCATTTTCCAAACGATTCACACCTTCAATTTCGTTTTTTGCATCTTCCAGCCATTTGTTGACATCAATCTCAATCTCTTCAGTATTCCTTTTAGCAACGTCGACAGCATCTTGTAGACGATAAAGTGCCAAAGCCAGGCTCATCTTTTGTTCATTGAATTCTTGAACAAAATTGTTGAAACAGAACATATAACGGAACTGCTTGATTGCTGGTTCCACCAAGACTTCTGCTATCTTAGATACAATGGATCCACCAGCACTTTTGATAGCCATTTTCCACCAGTCTGAAAAATCAGAGAAATGAGAATAGTAATTTTATCACCTTAATTTGTGAAGATATAAGCGGAAAGCAATAAAATATCTATCTATGCCAACGAGCAATTAATCCCTTGTCCCCTCATCTAAATCTCTATTCATGCCATCTACAAAAGTTACGTAGGGTGTTTTCTTTTCTTGAAGACTATAATATCTTCAGATTAATTTGTCATTAATCTTAAATTGTCATAATGTTGTTAATAAAATATAGAATGTTAATATGGTTGTATTGTCAATCAAAAAAACTCTATACATCAAAAGTTAAGAAATAGAATATTAATATCTTTCAATCCTTAGTTCTTTCAGATTTTTTATTCCCTTGATATCTTTATACAGTTCTAGGAGTGTATTTGCTAGGATCCAATTGCAACGACTTTATGGTGGATATAAATTACATTTTAAAGACAGGATCTTTATGCCACAAAAGTATACCTTCAATTCCATTTTTTTAAAGTTCTGACTTTCCCAAATATATAGAAAGGTAGGTTTCTATAATAATTTTTAAATTTGTTTTTACATAATTGAAGACGAGGAAGATTATATTGTTATTGAGTAGAGAATCAAAAAGTAAAGACAACTTGAAATTAAAAATATTATTTATGGAAAATAAACCATATAAATGTATGAAATAGCATGGTAAGAAAATATTTTACATGGAAAATACTTTTTAATAGCGGTGATGATGGATTTCACAATGATAATAACAGGGGTGGTGGTTAAATGGCAATGATAGTGAGAGAAGAGGTCGTAGTGAGAAGGTGATGGAGGCCGCGGTTGTGGTAAAAAAAGAGGTGGGGAAATAGGAGATGTTAGTGGTGGTGGTAAGATGAAGGTGGTGGTTAAAAGTCAAGATGGAGACTAATAATATTTTGTTAAATATTTTATTGGCAAGGATAAACATTCATAAATAAATGGAAGTTTTGAATTTTGCAGTGCATGAGTAAACGTGATGAAGGTTGTGTGCCCTTTGAAATGAAAGAAACTTCGCAAAGATTTTACGTACTTCAATCATAAGATGCAATTACACTAGACTGGACTACTTGAATTTTGCAGTGCATGAGTAAATAGTTGAAACTTTTTATGCAATGAAAAAATAAGCAAAATTACACTAGACTGGACTTGAAATTCAATTTTCTATTCTAAATTAAAGATGCATTAGAAATAGATTTGGAAAACCTAGGCGCATACTAGGCAACTCTTCTTGAAAACCTAAGTTAAGCTCGTATTGAGCCTTATGACTAATGTAAGTTAAAAAACAAATATCAAGCTAGTTTGGAAAGTCATGTCGTGGACTTCCATACGTTAATATTCAAGGTAAGACTTCAGTACCTATAATTAAATGCAAGATTGTAAAAAACTGATGCCAATTATTTAATTGCACTATAATAGGCTACGTTTTCAAAATATAGATTTACATGCTTGAATTGAACATATTTTCTAAACAACTGAAGATTTGATTGCTTGTTTAAGCTATATCGTGTGATATGGAGCTTGTAATGATAAGAACCAATCATCTACCAAAAAAGATAAAACTATAGTGATTACTCGTAATGAGAACTCCATCTTTCCTAGTTTAAAAATTAATCAAAGGTTTGGTGTTAAAAACTATTGATAGATGATTAGACTGAATATTACGGCATGTAAATCTAAATTTTAGAGTTCATTAATAATGTTATTGTTACTGAATATGTTTTGTAGTCATTTAGTTAATTAATGTAGCATTGATTTTATTCATGCAAAACATATTTATTATTAATAAAGATTTTCTTTATCTTTAATTTTCATTTATATTTAATTAATAAATTTAGAGTAATTTTATTTATATTTAATTAATAAATCTAGAGTAAAGATAAAGTTTATGAGACAAAAAAGCTTTACTAAAAAAATCATAAAATTGTTATAATTATGAGATTCATATTACATCAAAATATCATTTTTAAATATTCTAGGTCAATATTCTATTAAAATTGAATATTAATTAAAGCTATTATGATTGGTGTATATTATGTTTTTTTTTTTTATGAAAACAAACAATTATTCTCATAAACTAGGACATGAGGAATAAGTGAAACTAATATGCAGATATTTGTCAAATGACATGTATAATGAACTAACCTGTAAGAGAATTCTATATAAATAGATTACCTATGTATATGAAAAGGCTCATGTGATAGTTGTGTAAATGATTCTTAAACTTGAGATAACTGAATATTATTGATTGTGAAATTATTGGCCCTGTGGCAGCAAATCCTAACTTCACATGGATAGTTCTTTCTCATCTTGAAAAATGAAAAGGTGTATCTTGTACCATTTGAAAGGTATGGAAATAGTTGTGTAAATGATCGTTAAACCTGAGATAACTAAATATTATTGATTGTGAAATTATTGGCCATGTGGCAGCAAATCCTAACTTCAGATGGATAGTTCTTTCTCATCTTGAAGAATGAAAAAGTGTATCTTGTACCATTTGAAAGGTATGGAAGTTTAGTTTCTATCTCAACTAGAATCACCTAAACATTTGACTTGTAGCTCTAGTTATGATAAAAAAAAGGTATTGAAAGGTTAAACTGACCGAATCTAGTCTTTTTATCTCAATCTTTGTGTAAAGGTCTTGTTTTCACCAAAAAACCCTTCTTGAACATGAATCAAATTAATCACGACTTGCCCATTATTTAATATCCTCTTGAAGTCCACCTTAACCCACGTAACTTGAAGATGTCTATTGAAAATCTCTTTGAATCTCTTAGTTCTAAACCTTGTAACTGGACCAACACAACCTCCTATGGATCTTTTAATGCTTGGATTGCATCACTTAGACTTGAGATAACTAAGTTATTTTATATAGTCAATATTATATTTTAATGTCCACTATATGTTTCTTTAATCAAATGTAAAAAATGATTAGACATTGGATATAATAGAAATTTTATGAAGGTATTTGAGTGACCAAGAAAGAATTCATTATTTTAGAAACTATAAAATATTACATGTGTTCTCGAATAATATTAAATATGAAATCCTTATATAAGGTAAAATGATATTTGAAAAGAATTTCAAATCTTATTCAAATAAGTAATAACTATCGTGATGAAAATTGATATGATTTATCAATGCAAACACACTTTATGGTCAAATGTCTATATCAAAACAATACAAATGAAAGAACATTAGTTATATTGATAAACTAGTTGTTGAAAGGTTAACTCAAACCATAAATAACTTTTTCTAATATGTTGAAGATCATAATAGCTAGTGATTTTCGATCCTAAAAGAGATAGAGAGTTAGAACTCAAAGTGTAACAATCCTTCAATCCTAAAAGGGTTTATGAGATTTCTAATTTGGTAATTCATGTGAATTATGGTTAAAAATCGGATAATTGAACAACTAGTGACATATAACAACCTTGCCACAAAGAGCTTATTATATCTTAAAAAGAAGAATTATTCTTCAAGTAATCTTTACTCAAAACCTAAATGACCCTAAAACATTATAGTCTAGATGTATTTATATTACCATCATGAAGACTTGCAAGTTAAAGATGTTGTTCATGCTAAAGATGTTTGTGGTGTCTCCTATATACATAAATCAAAATAAGTTGGATATATTCAAATGATAAAATGTATACTTGTTAAGCATGAAATGTCTAAGAAATTTATTCAGTTGCAAAATATTGTTGGCTATTTAGGTGTGAGACAAAATGGTTGATGTTACAAAAATAAAGGATAGCTATTGTGTGAACAATAACCTCTTAAGATTAGAGTTAGATACTGTTTTAGAATCACAAGGGTGGACAAAATGGTATATTATACTAATAAAATATACCTGGATGATAAAATTTGAAGAATATTAGTTTTTATGTGAACCATTTGATCGACTCATATAACTGGATCAACTGGTTGGTCAGTTGAGCTAAATAATTGATAATAAGGCTACTATCCATATTTTTAATTTTTTATCCCCTCGATTTGTTTTTCTTTTGGATATATTTTTTATATGGAAAGGATTTATTTTTAGTATGAAGAAAGGATTTGATAGAATTTTAGGAAATTCTTAACTTGGGATTCAATAAACCTACCAGTTAAGCGTAACCCAAAACAATCGGTCAACCGGTTGCTCAACAATATATATATTCATTATTTCTCAATCAAAATCACAAAATAAAAACACCCTAACATCGACTCTCTCTCAAACACTCTCCAAAATCCATCCTCTTGATCACATTTGTAGCTTATTTCTTGAAGATTCAAGTATAATGGCAAGCAAAAAACGTATAAGAGACGTGGAATCGAGTAAAAGGGTCAATGATCCAACCTCTTGAGAAAGTGATGATATTCAAAGATTTATAAATTCTTCTGCAAATAAGTCTATTTCTAGAGAAAGAGGGTTGGGCAATGATCTTAGTACTTTTGATATAGACACTATTTTTTAGTAAATGGGTTAGAAATGGGTTATAGACACTATTTTTTAGTAAATGGGTTAAAGCATAATATATGATTTCAAGAAAGTTAGTTATGGTTTTTTTTTTTTTTCTAATATGAGGATAACAATGGAATCTAGGATTATAAAGTGAGGATTTGTTGTTAAGACCTAGATTGCTATATAGGATAATAACACATAGTATATTACCAAAGAAAGGGCATTTTAATGGAATAACTTTTATCGATATATGCTTAATCGATTGCATAATTAGAAAATGGCCAATGATATATATATATATATATATATATATGTTATGATTAGGAATATGATCATATTGCATAATCAAAAGCAAAAGTCTTTTCCTTATGGTCAAGCATTAACTTCTATTTTTTAGCATTTTAGGATTATTTTGGCATATATGGATAGGAATCCATATTTAAAGCTCATGGAAATAGATAATAAGACCCTTACCAAGATGAAATATATGTTAAATAAGGATGATAAAATATGTGTTAAATAAAGACGATGTTTAAGTTTCTAAGAACCAACTAATAGTACATGCTGGAAAAAAAAAAAGGCTTGATGATGACGAAATTGAAGCTATGTTTAGGTCACCACT